CCCAAAGTCCTGGGACCAAGATGAAGAATTTCATATCCCTGTCCTCCACAGTTGTCCATGGTGGCCCCATCAAGTTGGCACGTGGTTTTCCTCTGGACACTAGGGATAAGATGCATCACAGCATGGTTGTGAGGATGTAGTGGCCTTTGCTAATTAAGGCAGCAGAGATTGTGTATAAAGTGTCATGAGAGGATTGGGCTATGTTCTGGGGCATTTGTTTCACTGAGGAAGTTACTGCTTAAATTATAAAAGGATGATGGTACTGTGATTTACAGATTGAAAGGTGTTTAGCAAGGATCGTATTTTGCTTTCTCTTGTACCAGTGATGTCACTTTTGCTCCCTTCTGGCTATTGTTTGCTTAACCAAATAAGACTGATGAGGAGAGGGATACATTTGACAGTTACCTACTGCTGTAAACCTCTAAAGAGGAATAAGAACAAGAAACCGTCACCTCTACCAAAAGAAAAACGGTATGGGTAGTCTGTGGCACAGCAGAGGAATCCTGTAGCTGCCTCTCAAAGTCTTAGTCTTTTGGATCTTAGCTGTGCTTTGGAACTTTAAATTTTTGCCTGGTACAAAGTGGGTTCCTTGGAAGAGAATGGAGGAGGAAAAGGAGTGATGGTGTATGGAGTTCAGTAAAACAGTCTTGTGTCAGTGGCCACAAAGTACTCAGTCACAAAGGGTGCAAGGATATTTCAGGATGTAAAAAGGATATAATGGCCTGCTAAGAAGATGTCACAAATCTAAAAGGTTACAATTAATAATGTGATATGACAGATTGATAAATAAAAAGTTGATATCAATTGACTTGTAGAATGCTGATACAGCAAAACTGTTGGAGGAAGTCCATGAATATGAAGAAAGGGAAGAAGAATTTGCTCAAATAAAACTGGAATAATGGTGTAGGCCCATCAGCTATTTCACCACCCACAGAAGATGCAGGCAAATATTTCATACAGTGTTTGTGGGAGAGAAGGAGGATGATGCTCTTGTGCCATATGCCATGCAGAATATCTCCCAGGCACCTAATAGGAATAGAGGATGTGGTTGCATCTACTAGTAAAAAACATGGGAGGAGCATTGGAAGAGGTGGCTCAGGAGATCTTGGAACGGTAGTAAAACTGCAGCAGACAGAGAGCAGCTGCGTGGGGAGTGAGATAACAGCATAACTGTGGACTAGCGGGTCATCCTTTTGTCAAATATTGACATAAAGCAATACTGCAAGAGATTTCAGTTATTCCTGTCTCTACCTGGTGTTAGTTTAAAAAAAAAAAAAAAGAAATATGAGAAAAAAACCCTGCTGAAAAAGGCTGCTTTTTTTTTTTTTTGAGACTACATATGGATTTATTGGTAGAAATAACCTCATAGTTCTGAGATGTTCAGCCAGTTGTTAGGCACTGATTTGCTACTGCGTGGTCTCAGTCCCCCTTCTTTTCAAAAGACATGATTTTCTTCCAAAACCCTAGAGCCCTACAATGTCTGTAGAGCACCTCTTAAATGTATTATGAGCTGAGTTCCTTAATCTGTTCCATAGTTTATGAACAAGGGACATCTGGGGACAGGAAGTCTCTTCAACTGTTTTGGAGTTCACTGACAAGTCTTAGCATTGTTCATGGTGAATCCTAATTAAATGGGGTCCATGGGGATGTGTAGTAGGACTGATGATGTTCAACCCTTTCATCCGTGGAATGGATATGGAATTGCTTTTGAGAGAAACTGAGGATAAGCCATAGGTTGGCAGGGTTGTAGATTGTTTTGGATCTTTTCTTAAACCGAACTGATGCCGACAAAATGGGTTCTTAATCACATCAAATGGGGAGTTAAAAATATCAATATGGAAAGCTCTGGCCTTATCGTCTGCATGAAGGATGGTGTTTGGAAAGAAGTAGCTTGGAGAGGGCCTTTTGGGGACGCAGTGGGCAAGTAACTCAAGGCTTCCCAATGTCATGCTTGGACTAAAGGGTGATGTGAGTGTGAAGAGGGTAAGGTAGTCAGTGGAGCAGTTTCTTGCCTCTGAAGTCAGGGTTCAGGAAGGAGAACATTAGAATAGCAGCATCAGTGTTGCAGAGGGAAAACTGAAAAAATGAGAAAAGAATAGAGAAAGGAGCTACTGAAATGTTTTGGAAACTGAAGACTAACCAAACTCCATCTGTTTAGCTTACTGAAAAGAGACTGAAAGGGGACTACTAACAATTATTTTTTTCAAAGGGAAGCTTTGACGTAGTAAAGGAGACCTATGTAATACAAATGGCTGCAAGAAAAGTCGACATGAAATGAAATGCCTGAGTATGTTTTTTCTCCTTTGTGATTGACTGTTGGAAGTTACCCAGGAAAGCAATGGATTCCTTATTTGTTCATGCCCTTTTAAACAATTGATTTTTGTGACATTTTGCATTTGATGGGGATAATCATTGGCCATGTGAAGTGGCAAGTGGAAGGGCCTGTGGCCTCCGGGAGGCTGGTGTAATGCTGTGGATCCTAGCTAGCACATCCACTTCTAATATTGCTGCTGTGCAGGCTGAAGGGTGGATGAGTAAATCTTTCCATCCAGCTGCATGTTGGTACCTGTGTCTAGTTGCTTTCATTTGCGCTCCAAAGTCTTTAATCCATCCTGTGTCTGTTCTTCTGGTAAACTCTTTTTTAAAAAAAAAAGTCATGGATTTTTTTCTAGTCCTATGGCTGGGCCTCGATGTGAGGACAGACGTTAGTGCAGCACATGTTAGCATGTAGAGAGCAGAACAGTTCTGTGTAACCAGTGAAATTTTATGGTGGCCACCTCAGTTAAAGATGAACTTGTGCCGCACAAAGCTGCGAGCGGGTCCCTGACAGCACTTAGAGCAATGCAGACTGTCATGTGTTTGGCAGAGGGCTGGACAAACCAGGAGAGACTGGGAGGGTCCTCTGTAAGCTGAATCCTGGAAAGACCAGTATATCAGCCAAGACCTGGTGGATATCTGTATACCGGATGCTCCAGGCTCATACAATTAGTTAAAACTTGTTTGGGTCCCACGTGCTGTATGAGCTGGAGCAATGTTTTAATCATGCTGGAGAAACCTATTGTCTGGGTGCCATGAAATGGCATGGATGTACAGAGAGAATGTGAAAAAAGAAAAGTACCTGCTGCCACATCTTTTTATCTTGTGCCTTGTTAATCATTAATCCTGGGTACAAACCACTTGCTCCTTTGCCCTTATTAACGTCAAAGTTGAAAGCTGCCAGCATGTTCCACATCTCCTGCCAAACCTTTGCCTTTGAAGGGTCAGTTGCATAGTAGTTGCCACCGTGAGTGAGTTTGTAAGGTAGCCCAAAGCCAGACGTTTGTATTACCTCTATTTAAGAAGAAAGTAAGAAAGAAGTCATCATGCAATATCACTGGACATTTGGACTTGAAATAACTGTGCTTCTCTTGCAGCTGTGCTCTTAGGCCTGCGTGCTGTGGCTGGTGTTGCACCTCTTACAAAGAGCTTGCTCTCCAGATGGGACTTCTGAGAGATTCTGTATGGAATTGGAGTGGCCAAAGGCAGCTGCTGTGGCTATGCTGGGAAGCTCTTGGGGAGGGTGGGAAGGAGACAAGAGAGGAGGAGCAAGGCCCTGGGCAAGGTTGATGCTGCTTAGCAGGAGCCAGCTAGGGAGAGGAGAGGCATCCACTCTCTTCACGTGGCAAGTAGAAACAGTGTGTGGGAAATACTGAAAAAATGCATTGTAACTATACTGTGGAAATCCTGCACAGCTTCGTGCTGGCCCAGCATGAAGCTATTTATAAAAACAGCAGTGTCAATCTCTGTGCCAAGCACTCCAATGGGTGGAACCATAAAAATGACTTTGGGTTGGTTTAGAAATAAGCAAATGCTGGCATGCTGCAGCTGCCCAGGAATAAGGGCTAGAAACCCAGCGGGGAGAGTAGGATGTGATGATGGCTTTTGTGCATCTGTAGTTCAAAGGTGAAATGCAAGAGGGGAAAGACGTATTGTTTTGCTAGTGACAAGCTCTATTTTGAAAGTCATTTATCTGCTTGTGCTGTTCCTGCTGGAATACACATGCCACTATATGAAAACTTTTTGTTTCTTACTGTTACCAAGATACATGGATTTCTTGGTAGGTGTCTCCAGTGGCTTCCCCGTTTATGGGATATCACTGAAGAGGCAAGTACTGCCCATAATACCCATGGGACCTTAATGGGTATTATGGTCATGCCCTGCTGCATGCCCATGCCATGCTGGGTCCCCTGGTCATGCCCTGCTGCATCTGCCTGACCTGATGGTTAGTGAACATGCCAACTTT